TATGCAATTTTATACATGAATTGCCAAATAGAATTCTCTTTTAAAATATTTTTAAAATTATTATTGATTTCTTGTAACCAGGAGAGATACCTTTCTGAAAGTAGCAATTAAATGAGTTTTGGAACTAATGTGAGGCAGTACAAAACAGAAAAACCTCTGTGTCACAGATCTGATGATGTCCAGCTTTTTTGAGCATTCCACATGGGTGCCAGTCTACACATCTGTGATCCCTTTTTGTAGGACCATTTTGTGTAGGGTTTGCAGATCAATGTTTTCTGCAGCACTGAGGCCACCCCTCAAAATACTCATCTAAAAATACTACTAAAATACTACTAAAAGTCAGTCCAAAGTAAAATGAAGAATCTATGTAGGAATCTGTGCTTATCTTAGTCACTTCAAATCAAATATGTGTAATTCAGAGTAAAAACATTTGGTTTGGTTATACGTACAGCCCTTCAAACCATAAGTCTTTTGCCTTTCCTTTCTGCTGGTGATGTGCAGAGACTAATTTGGCTTGCTGTGTGCAGTACTGACAGATGTGAAAAATACAAAGCACAGTTGTTTTTTTTTATTGAATCACTTTTTTCTGTCTCATTTTGGATACTTTATTTTAGTGCTATACAAGTCACTGAAAGAGGAGCTCATTAGAAATCTCACACAGACAGTTCTTGCATTTTTTCATAAATTTGCTTTTTCCTTCTGTTTTCTTTTAGTGTGCTGTAGGTAGTTGTGACCACTTAAAGTGAGGGAACAAACAAATCAGCTAGAGTTGAATTATTTTGGGAGTGTGATCATAAAGGCATAGCTTTCAGTATAGGAAGAGTTCATATAGTTATGTTTACTACTTATTCATCATCTAGTTACAGTGTAATTGAGATAATTGAAATATTAGAAAAGGTTGATTGATTTATAGAAATTAAAAAAATATTTTTTCTCTTAAAATTGATCTCTCACCATTAACATTGTACATCGTTTAACCAGACGATGGGTGCTGCAACAACTAATTCAGGAAAAGTCCTTGCCTGGTCTTGTGACTAAAGGAAACTTGGGAGCGGCACCTGTGGAGAGAATTCACCACCGCCTAGTGCAGGACGAAATGAATGTCTGCTCTGAAGCTGCTGGGAGGTATCCAAGCAACTACAATGCCTGGTCTCATCGCATCTGGGTTTTACAACATTTGGGAGAGCTGACTGTCAAGGTATAATACAACAGTGAATAAAGTCTTAAAATTCCTTGTCAAAAAAAAAAAACAAACCCAGACTGATTTGCCAAGCAGATCCTATGATATGGATGGAGAGTATCATGAGAGTATCATATTAAGTTAGTACAGGTGGCTAAGAATGTTTTAAAAAAGCAGGCAAAACATTGCAGTTAGTATGTTCTCCATTTTTCTTATCAGCATAGGCAGGTTCTGCTCAGCAGAGAGAACACATTTTTCTCAGCCATGTACAAAGTTCTGTTTGTCTGTTGGTACTTAGTGTTAATGAACTTGTGTCAGGAGGATAGATGGGACTATGTGAGCTGAAATAAAGAAGGGGCAACTGAAAATAATTCTTCTAGCACTAATCTTGAAATTCCTAATAGAGAAAAAGATAATACATAACAGACATTATTTTGCTAATGTTATGTGATGTCTTGTTTGATACCCTTATTCAGTTTATCTGTGGTTTTAGAGTATTGAAGGATTAAGTAAAGACAGCAGAAATATCAGAGAAAGCATAGTAGTGCTTGTAACTAGTTTCTTCAGCTCCAACGGTATCTTTTGACAGCATTTGAATTAAGGGCTGATCAAGATATTCCAGCTCCAGCAGGGCCATCTTATGTGATGGCACATTTTTCAGATCACATGTTAGTATCTAAAAGATCAAGACCTGCAGCAGATTGAATTAGTTAATGTGACATGATCTAAAATTATATACACATATACACATATAAAATTATAAACACAGTTTGTAATACTGTGGTTTCTAAGCTGTTAGGTGAATTCCTTTGAATATTAGCCTGATGGCAGAGACGCATCACTCAGACCAGCAGCTGCTGCATTTTGCCATGTTGTAAACACGTAGGGGAGTGAGGGAGGAATTTAGTGGAGATTGTTGAGTTGATACAGCCATTATTTTTATGTCTTATGGGACAGCTACTGCTAGCAATGGATGTTGTTCTGCTGATGTTTCCTGTTAATTGTCACCTGAGAAACTTTAAAAATAGCTGTATCAGATTGGTAGTAAATAGCAAGTATGTTGCAGACTCTATGAGGGAAACAGCCCAGAATTTGGGCTCATCTGCTTAGCAAGTTCATACGAAAGGGTAGTTATGGAATTACAGGACTGGGATAGGCTGGAGATTAGAAAACAGGGTTAGAGGTCTATATTAATAGGAAACAGGGACTTTCACATAAGTCTTTTAACAGCTTTGTTAAGAAGAGGGAGGGAAAAGTTAGCACTGGTAATTAAAACTCAAGTCATTTTATGCTTCAGTTAACAGTAATGTGAAGATCAGGGTGATACCCTGAGTGCTTATTGCACTTGCTACTCCTTACTAATTTAAATAAGCATAAAGAATTGCATTGTGATAAAAATAACACTTCTCAGAGCTGGAATCATTCTGGTGCTTTTATTCATTGGCAGTTGTCAGTGCATTGTGTGACAAGTCACAAGCGTGCCTGTGAAGGAACTAGTTTAAATTTATTTGGTCGTTCCAAGTTCATTTGCATTGCCCGCCATCCCAATTCCTCTACTGATCTTCTTTTTAGGCTACTAAGGAAGTGATCTTTTCGCTAGTTTTGTCCAACTGGCTTTTGTTACCTTTGGCAAAATTTCACTAGTTCTGCTGTTCCTCGAGCAGTGTGTTTAACCCATTGGGAAATCTCCATGTTGACTCTGGGCTTTTTTCATGGCAACACCAATGCATCTCTTCATATGGCCTAGCAGAAGGTGTTTGGGATGCAGGGAAACTAGGAAAAAGTGTGGAGCATAGAAGATGTCAAGAATCTTGAGAAAAAATTTGTGTCTAGGGAACTTTAAAAGGCAGAACTGGAAAGTGACTAATTCCAAGATGTGATATGAGGAAAAAAGAAAATATGAAGGACAGGGAAAAAGCAGACATTAGATTTTCACAAAAATATACAGGTTGTTTTCTTGCTTTATATCTTGTTTTGTACCTTTGGCTGTTTGTGTTTTTGACAATCTGAAAAGAATGGTAAATTTCACCAAGATGTAAGGCTGGAACTGTGCTGAAAAAATTAGCAGATAAAACAGTCACTGTGATTCTGTAGCCTTTTAGTTCTTGCAAGGTTGCCTCAACTAGAGTACCTTGTATTATTTAGGGCCAGATTTCTGCTATAATACAAACTTTGCCTGTAGTTTGAGGTAGTTTTTGTTCCGGTGTACAAGGAAACAGAGGCCCAGAAACATAATATGTGTCTTGTATTGTCATTGAATTAAGGCTTCGCGAAACAAATTTATCATTTATGAAACTGTTCGCCTTCTGTGGAGGATTTGAGGGGGTAGGTTGTTTGGTAGGGTTTGGGGTTTTTTCCCTTTGGTTTGGTAATCCTAATGCTTCTGCAGACTAAATCTTAGTTCAGACTCTGGTAAAAAGATATAAAATACAAGAGGAGAAAGTTTTGACCCTCTAGGAAGACTTTCTCACAGAAAACATCATAGATGTTTCTTCTTTCTTACACTAGACAGTAAAAAACATTATCTTGTTTGAATATAGAAATCCCAATTTGTTTTTTGTGCAGAATTTGAACCATATTAGCAAGTTTATGTTGTATTTGAATAGTGTTCATTAATATCAATAAAGGATTTGTCAAGAATAGGTTGTTCCAAACCAATCAATCTAATATTTCTGGTATTGGAGTACTTGCCTTGGAAAAGGATGAGAAAGCTTGACTTCAGCTTTCTCACATGCCAGTACAGTTAGCTAATGGGGGAAAAACATGGGCTCCAGATACCTACTAACAGGTGGGTGCATAATTATTTGGAGAACCAGAGTAAGAAAGTAATATTGGTATCATCTGTCATGCACATCACAATGCTTGAGAGAAACCATGCAGATACAAAGATAAGATGTAATTCAGCAAGCATGAACAAACTTTTTTGTTTTCTTTAGATAGGAATACTCAACTTCATAAGTATAGGACGGAGAGTGGCCAATCAGGCCCTTCAATAAAAAAACAAGCAAATAAACATGTGGTGGGGTCATTGTCATGAGGCAACACCTCTCTTGTGTGATGCCCAGGAGACAGAAGCATGTTAATAGGACACAAAGTAATTTTTCATGTAAACATCCCCAGTAAGGCCTTACATAACTGGACCTCCAAAGGTACCTGTCTTTTGTGTGAGTAGGCATTGCCATATTTATCTGGTTATCCTTTAAAGTTTTTTCCCCAGATACAGTTCCCTTTCATGTTTCCAGTGTCCTAGATGGGGGACGAAGTTTTGGGCTACAGTTTATGATTGTTAAGTGCTTTAAAAAGCAAGCACAGGGTGAAGGAAGGTGTAAGAAGGAGTGTAGATCCAGAGGTTGAGGCAAAGGTCACCGAGCTCACATATCCTATTCTGGAGCGGGATGCCAGTTCCATGGTACTCAGCTCACGACTGAAGGTAGAAGAGAACCCTTTGTGAGAAGTTGTCAGAAGTGGAGAGGGAGTATTTTCATGTCATTTCCTCTTTGCTTCACAGAAGAATGGCAAAGGGCTTGTCATGTTCAATGTGGAAATGGAGAAAGCTGTCTCAGTAAGAAAGAACCTCTGTTGGAATTCAGATGTTAGGTGGCTTTTTGTTTTGTCTCCAGTTGTTTGAAGCATCTTCTGCTGTTACTCTGATGTTCCTAGAGGAGAGGCTTTGGTTTTTTACCTCTCAACAGGTTTAATGGCAATCTTCTATCTTGCTTTTCTAGAAGAGGTTTACTAGTTCAGGTAAGAAGTAATGCCGGGAATAATTCAGTTTGCTTTGTGCAGGGAGCTAAAATGCATAATTACAATGTTCCCCTGTAACTTTGTAGCTTATAAACATATCAGGTAAATGAATCAGATTATTCCAAGACCTAAGTTGGACATAATGTGTGTTGTATCAGTTCCAGCTGAATAAAGAGTTGTCTGATTTTTCTGATGTCTCCCTTAGCCCCATGTTGTTTTTAATAGGCTTTTAGATGTTAATTTTCAGAAATTTACAATAGTAAATTCAATTCTGCTGAGAAGAGAGAAGCTGATCTTCTAGTTTAAAGTGCAGAAGTGGAGATGGGGATTTTTAGCCCCCTTAAGAATCCCTTGTGTGGGCTGTTATTTAATAGTGCCCTTCAGTTTGATGAGCTGTAAAAAGAAGACAATGCTGGTATCTCCTGTCAAAATGTAAAAAAGCATGTTGAGTCTCTCGGGTAGAAGGTGTTATTTATGTTGTTTGTGTTTGCTCCAATATCTTTTAGAACAGACGCACCACAAAAAAAAAGGTGTATAACTAGCCTTGCACATTTCCATGGTTTTCTTTGTGGGAGGCTGTGCCTCTTGTGCTGCGGGAGAAAAAAGACATGCCTATGAAAGCTGCTTTGCATCAGCCAGTCTTGTTAAGTGATGTGGGTAGCTTGGAAAAAGAGATAAAGAATACACCAATAAGTTTATATCCAAAATCTTTAGAAGTAAACGAAAAAGGTAGTTTTGATCTCTTTAAAAAGTTTAAACTCCAGAAGAGGAGTGATGTGAGGAAAGAGGTTAAAGCCTTTAAAGAAATACAACCATTAGTTCTAGCAGAGAAAGTAAAGAAGCTTTGCCCAATAGCCAAACTTGCCCATCTTCCTAGAAATAAATTTTGAATTCCTAGAAATAAATTCCACCCTAGAAATAAATTTTTGTTTAAAAACATTCACAATTAAGAGAAAATTCATAAGTGCCAGTGTTACAAATACAGCTGCGGTCACCAATGTAAGTATTTAACACAACTATTTTGAAAGCCTTTTTGGGACTTCACCAGTTACCAAGTTAAGCAACTTAATTGTGGATGAATAGTTTTGTATTCCACAGGCTCTAGGACTTGAACGTAATGTTAGTGGTTGACATTCTTTCCTGGAAAAAAATGAAAGTGTAAATTAAATTCTTTTTTTTTTTCTTTTAAGCAGCTCACCCACTCTGACACCCATAATGCACTAAGCAAAAATTAGAATACTTATAACTCATATCCATGTAGTTTGGCATACCCTTTACCTTTGCCACCTCTAAATAGTCTTTATGCCTAGCCATTTTAAGAACCTGGTTATTTCTCATCATAAGTGGTTTCGGTTATTCTCCCCTGCCCACCTCTTCCCTGCACCCTGTGGGAAGGTTTCTGAGACACCTGCCTTTTCAGAGTTTGGAAGACATATAATTGCTTTTGTGCAGGGGTGCCACGATACTTGTCAGCACACAGTGGAAAAGGCTCAGTGATTACTTCATTTTTCTGTGTGTGTTCTTAAACAATTACCATGGTGGCTGAAATCTGCAGAGGAGAGGTTACCTTAATACAGAAATAGCGGTATTAAGTTCCTCCTTTATACTGGTTGATAACTGTTGCTGCTTTTCGTTTCAGGTTCTCCTCGATGAACTTTCATCCACTAGATATTGGGTATCCATGCATGTCTCGGACCATAGTGGATTTCATTACCGCCAGTTCTTACTCAAGTCCTTGATGGGCAGAACTGTGACTGACAATAATGTACTGGTACAAAATCAAATGGTCAATGAGAAAAGCCCTAGCCTTCAAAAGGAGGAGAGTGGAGGGGCAGAAGCTACCTGTGTGGAACAGCAAAGTGTGGATCCCCTCCGCTGTTTAGAGGAAGAGTTGGAGCTCTGCACCGAACTGATTGATACTTACCCAGGGCATGAAACCTTGTGGTGTCATAGGTAAGACGACTTGGTCAAAAGAGCTTGCCTGACTAGGTAACAGCAGATTTACCAAAGTGACACTGAGCCCTTTTTTTTGTAGAGTGTGAGCAGTGACACCAGATTTTGTGTCTGTGGGGGAGTGTGGTGGGATGTCAAATGAACTGAAGCAATTCAGCAGCAACAGCAGATTATTTTCAGTGACTGACTTTTTTTTTTTTCTTTTCTTCCTTCCTTTTCCTCCGAAGAAGGCGTGTGTTCTATCTTCAGCACCACCTACGCAACAAACTTCTGAGTGCAGTGGTATCGTCTGCGGACAGCAGTGATGAAACTCTGAGTAATTCCCACCACAGTCTTGCGACAAGTCACATGGCTCAAGCTATGGATGTTGAAGGTTTGAATGAATCCAGCAGCAAACAAGGTTATACCCAAGAAACAAAACGCCTGAAGCGTGCTCCTATGCAGGACCCTCTAGGTCCAGAAATGGAATACCGGTTCATTGATAAAGTATTATCAACTTGTAGGGATGCAGACCAAGCCAGGTTTGCCACTGCTTATAGTAAATGGTTGGTTACTTTTTTAGGTCAGTGAAGGAAGAGTTTAAAACCTTCAGGGTTCTTTTAGTGCAATATTCTCTTTTCAGACACAGATGCATGTCTTGGTTGCGTTAGCTGACCATGTGTTTCTCCCTGTTTTAATGGTCAGTCCTAAAGTTCATATTCAAAGTAGAAGTCTGTCACTTTATTAAAGAACTGGCATACCTTTTTATTAAGCAAATACAGTTAGTTCTTGAATCTTTTTAAGAAATCACTGTGTCAGCTTTCCATGCCATTTTCTTATTTTTTAACTTCTGCATTAAGGTGGACTCAGAGTCATTTGGCTTAAAACAAACAAACAGAAAGCCCAGACAAAACCAATAAAAACAACCAGCCTGAAATGCTTTTGAACTAGAGTGTCTGGAAAAAGAATAGGAGGATCTGTCAGTATCAACTAAACCTGTTTCCAGGTTGTTCCTCTTTACTATAGTGGCATCTTGCTAATACCTTATTGGAATGAAACTATATTTGGTGAGTGCTATTAGGTTTGTATAAGCAACCTTTAGTAAAACACCAGACTGCAGTATTTCTTTCTCAAGGCTCCAGTAACAGTATTGGAGCCCTGCATTTTACTATTGTAACGGAGTTTTTGTTTGTTTATTAGTTGTCACATGAGTTTGATAGGAAAGTCTATGAAGTTGAAATCCTGAGAAGCAGATACAGGAAAATGTGTCAGAAAATAGTTCAAACACGCATGTTCACACTCAGAGCTGTATTTGGAAATACTTTTCTTAGAACAGACTAAGTATTGGTATTTATTTATTTATTTAATCTCAACAATCCAGAATTAATGACACTTAATACACATTTCTGAACATATTATGTACACTACAGAATCTCAGCGTGCTAAATCACACATTGTTAACTTGTACTTAACCAAGACCATGCAAGTCCAATAGATGATGGAGTAAAAAGTCATTCTTCTGACTGCTTATTGAGACTATACAATTAAAAAAAAAAAGATAGCAAGAGGGAACTATCTCTTCAAATTTGTTCTTTTGCAGAGCTTCAGTCTTTGGTTTTCTTTTCTTTTGACTCTTCCTTAAGAGCACTTCTCCAACCATACATCTCTGTTTACGTAACTGCAAATTTTAAGGGAATTTGAAACACATTTCTGTTACAGTGAAGTTAAACATCAATGGTGTATTCTGTAATTTCCTAAGAACTTGTCTATGTAAGGGATTTTTTACACTAATGGAATTGTGCTGGTCCAAAGACCCAGGGGATAAACATGGTACAGCTGTAGAAGTTTGTACAATGGCAACATCGCCTCTGTTCCAAACAGACTATTCACTGAGGGCATTAAATTTTCAAGCTACAGTCTTTGCTAAAATTGCTGTATATTTCTCCTGCCCAAAGTGCCTCCTGACTGTGTTAAGTTTCAAGCTGCTGTTTCTGTTGGGCAGAGAGAGCAACAATGAGGGAGGAAAAAAAGCAAGTAGCATGCTCAGAAGGTATAATTTTGAAAGAAAAAAGGCACTTGAAATATGGAATTCCGACAGTTCTAAATAATTTCATGGACGAGGATTACTCTTGCATTTCAAAATGGAAATAGACCACCTCTAGTCTTAGAGAGTATGTTCATAACTCACTTCAGGCACAGCTAACAGACACATTTCTAAATGTACACTGTTCTGTTTACAGTACCTAGATAAGTCTGACCTAGGCTTGAGCATCCCCATGGCAAAGCTTTGTCTCAATGGACATCCACACCTGCCTCTCTGTAGCTAGGGATCTATTACATGGATGTTTATTTTGAGGTGCTCTGGGATGCTGTCTTGGTTTTAGCTGCAGAAGAACCTAATTGATGTGTTTTGGGAATGGCTTGAGAGGATAATTTTGTCATAAGACGTCTTCATGACCACTGACAAATGGGTGGGTTCAGGTACAAACTGGAGTCTCAATTTAAGAACTTAACTTGAGCAAGAACTTCTACCCATCCCAGAGGACCTGATGTTTTTTGAGTATGAAAGATATATTAAAGCATGTCTAGTAGCCTGGGTCAACTTGATTAACAATAACCCATTAATAACTAGTATGAACCTGGAAATGTGAAGTCAGCTGGCAATGTATTAAGGATCGTGTTCTTGGTCCTAGATTACTTAGATAGTAATGTAGTTGTGTGTTCTGTTTACCTTGGCAAAAATTACCTGTTCATGAGAAAAATATTACTGACAGGAGCAGACTGGGAAGTGGGAGCATGATAAAAAATATTTATTGAACTGCATAAGGGAAGAGTTGCTCTCTTCTTGCACTGGAATGATTGAGGTTTTTAGAGGAAAAGATTTATATTAGAATCTGACTTGAAACCCATTATATATTTCTTCCAGGCCATAATCTGGAGTCTTAGTTGGCTTTCTTAGAGCTATATTGTGGAAGTAGTGTGCTATTGAATTTGACAGTCTTTCTGTCATAAACACTTAAGATCAAACTACTTTCCTCATATAATGTGTGCAGTTCCTATTCATGTCAGCATGAGTTATGGATGCTTGTAGGAAGAAAATATATGGTCCTGTGTAACTGAACAGAGTTGCATTGTGTTTTCATACTTGGAAAATGTTATGAGGGCTCTGATTAGAGATGGTGCTGATATTTTTATTACTTTTACAGAACACTGGTGGCTGTAGTATGACTCTTATGTGTGGGTTTTTAAAGCCCACACCTGATGGAAATACTTGCCCCCATCCTTTTTCTTTTCTTTAATCCAGTGGAATAGTTACATTTAGAAATGTTTGCAGACCAGACTCTGACACATAGAAAACTAAACAATAAAAATGAAATAGAAACAAGTCATTTCTTCCTCTTTGAAAGAAATGCAAACAATAAGTCATCAAAATAGATGGTGGTACCAATATAAATGGTACAAAAGAAGAAAGTATATAGCTAAATTCCTTCAAGCTGTCAATGTCCTTGAAGCATCTTACATTAAATGGTTGAAGAGATCCTTCCAACGAATTGCATTAAGCTTACAACTGTGTGATGTTCTGGAACTATGATCTTTGGAACACACCTGTCTTAGCCATTCAGTAGTACTGCAGAGCCCCATTTGGGCACTGCTTGAAAAAAAGAAAAGTGGCTTCACGCCGTTAGTAGTTAACATGCATAAAGGTTACTGAGTACAGCTACTTTAAGTAATGTGTTTTAATCGTTCTGTGTTTTAGAGGTCAGAGGATTATAATGTAGTCAATGATCATTCTTGTGGTGAAAATGTCCAATAGAAGCTGCAGAATACAAGGCTCTCACTCTGTGAAATTCCATCAGATAAAAAAATCAAACTTTGTACATCTGTAAACGTCTTCATAGAAAGCTCAGCATCGTTATTGATTTTACCTTCTGCTCTAGTATGTGTCATTTGAATTGATGCTTTTTGTTCACTGGGTTAGCCTTTGGAGAAATTTCTTTGTGATAGAAACAAAGGGTTTTGAGGAACAAATGTGGTCTGAAACTACAGAAATTAGAATAGAAGAAATCACATTTTAAGAGGTTGAATTCTCTGCTACTAAATATATTAACTGTTATTTCATTGGCATTTGGTTTATCTTGTGTGTTACAGTCACTGGAGCAACACATGCAGCATTGAAGATAGGTATTATAACAAACTTGTATAAAGTTGTTATTGGAATGCATTGTTATGGCTGCTCTGATTAATATTTGTTAATCTATTCTTGCCTGCATATTAGTGTTTTGTTGACTTCTTGCATATTCTTCAAACAATCAAATCTTTGTGTCATTTAAACAGGTAGAAAAGTAAATTGTCAGTTTATACTGTTTGATCAATTACCTTTACATAGAACTTGTTTTAAGACAAATAAGCAAAGTGGTAATAATAGTGAGAAAGCTTAGATTCTGTCTTATAATAAAAGTTTCTGGCATTTCCAGTTTTGTGTTAGTGCTGCTTAATTAAGAATACGTAGCTAGTCTTTATGGGCAGGAGTGAATTTTTTCCTAAGTAGATAATTAACGGATTTTTAAAACAGTACTGTATAATACTGATGAGCAGAAGTGAAGAGTTTTGGAAAGACTTGTCTGCCTAGCCACACCCAAAAAGCCTACTTTTTCAGAATAACATATAATACAGTGAACAAATGTGACTACCAGAGAATAATTTAAGTGGTGAGTCTTCAGAGACTTTATGACTGAATTTTTGGACAAGGTTGTTTGCGTAGTTTAGTTTTGCCTTCTGTGAGGGAAGAATGTTCCTTTGTTTTTTTAATTTAGTAGGAAGTGAACCGTTGCACTTACAGTGTGGGGGAAAAAACCCCCACCAATGTAGATGTGACTTTTAAATGCATGTTTGTCCTGTACTCACTTGGTGATGAGAGGTCTTTACAGTAAGATCTTACTGTTTAGTTAATGTCAGATACAAAGGAAAGAAGGTAACTCACCTGTTCTCAGTCTCTCACTTAACATTCAAGTTACTTTCAAAGGAAGCTTGTGTCCCTGTCTAAGATAATTTTCCGTCTTTTTTTCGCATGTGCTAGCAGGTGTGTTTCCTTCCCAACCTCTTCTCTGTTCTTCCAACTAGCAAAGAAGAATGTAGCAAAGCATTGGTGAGGTGGTCTAATTTCCTGTTTAGATAACTCTGACTACCTTCCAAAAAGTGCTCTGATTGATGTCCTTAAGTGGAGTTCGTCAGGCTTAGTTTTTTTGGAACCTCATACTAGACCTACATCCTCTATCTGAGGTGAATAGCAGGAGCTTCATCTACAAAGCCGTCTAGTTTCCCCAGGAGAGTTTAAAGGAAAAAAGAAAAAAAATATTTTAGTTAAAGTTGGGAAAACTAGAATTAGTATAAACTTTCGTTAGTCTTTTCCTCTGAAGGAGCAATGCATTGCTGAAAAATGGAGGAAATATGTGCTTCCAAGAAGTTCCTTGTAGGCAGTTTATGCTTGACCTGACACAATCTAGTGGCTTTTACTTAGCATGTAACATTACTTCTCAGGGCATACTCTATTGTAGTGAATTAGGGTACGTTTTTACAGTTTATAATTATTGATTAAAAAAAACCAAAAATGCTAAACATGTAATAACTGGCTTTAAATTTTTTTTTATCTAGCATAGTGTTTTATGTCTACCCACAGGCTAATACTGTACCTGATGATTCACACTGGACCTT